GGGGGGCCCACAATATTTACAGGGAAGAGTTTTAATTGATACCAATCTAAAAATTAATAACGCACCAATCTGAAATTATTAAATACTTAGACTATTTCCTAACTCTGATCATAACAATTATACTTCTAATTACGAGACAAGTTACAAACATCATCTGATTAGCTAAGACTTTTTACCCTGGTATACAGCACGTCCAAAAAGAGACCTGGTGAATTAAGATTTTTCGGCAGCGAGATGCGAGATGGTAACGGGAAAAGAATGCAGTAAGCCCATATATTAAATTGTTGTAATAACGTCATTGGTGATTATGGAATAAAGCAGACCTAACAAACAAACTTAATCAATGGGATTTGAAACCAGATATTAGCCCTTTCTCGAATCGGCATCGCGGCAGATGATACGGTTCGTTTATCCGTACGGCGGTTTTCTGTGACTGTTTCCTTGCTGTTTATATAAATTAGGCACAGCTGTAATCAAAAGTAAAACTGGGTTATGTCAGACGATTTTTTAGATCATTAACTATCTGGGAGAAAAGTAGCAATTATAGTTAGATTTCTTTACCTTGGTAACCACTTTTTTCAGTATTAAATGTGCTTTCCATATCGCCTTGTAGATATTGTCATTTATTTACTGAAATGTATCATGAACGGCGATCATCCGTATCCGTGGTTTATAAAAGAAAGGGAAAAAGTCTAAAAAAGGAAACGGAAATATCAAAGAAAACAGAACAAACAAACAAACTTTATACCAAAATTTAGATCATCTAGCAAGGTAAACTTAAACTTGAAAAGATAAACCTCCAGTATGAAACGGGGACCATTTAGTACAAGTACTTGCTGCAATCTGAATTGTCGATCAGACAAGATGACATAACGCATTTCATTACCCTTTCCGCATAAAAGATTTCAATACGTCATCTGCTATATCTGCTGTCGGTTATATTTTTATTTTCTTCAACCCCGCTTTAAACACTCGTCGTGGGTATTATCACGTTTGTAGCTAAACAACCTAATTAAATATTGGACTAGGATATTGCCTCTCGAGTATGCGGGGACCGCTTTGAGGTTCACTTAGTGAGAACAATGTGCGTCGAAAAGTGTCTTTATCAGTTGTTATATCGGCTTTTGCTATTAGCAATCAATTTGGAGAGCTATTAAGCAATCAATTTGGAGGGCATTGTTTGAGGTAATGACTCCGAATGTAGCATAAAAAGAGCTTGCAACAACGTACTAGCCGTCTGACGGAATTGTAGAAAGCAGTACGTTACTGATCCAGTAATAAGGCTGTTGGCAAGTTTTCGAGTATCAGGTTATCGATCGAATTCAAGAAACAGGTATTTTGTAACTAATCTGTACAAAACTACAAAACGAAATACTACTTGAGCATCATGCGATCTAAGTAATCTGATTTTCGTTTAGGACGGGAGCATATTTATGACTTGTTCAATGTGCAAGATGTTCCTTTTTCATGGGCACACGCTACATTTTAATAATTCTTGAAATATCAGAATATCACAAAATTGATGACATGAAAATCCACTCGTGACAATTCTTTTTTTTTTTTTCAATTCCATGATTAATAATAATAATACTAATATTAACAGCAATTTATATTGATCATTTATAAAAATAAAAGCAATTCGTGAGTTCATTTTTTTATAAATTTATATTTTTTTTAAGATCAAAGGAGTGAGTAGTAATCAAAGCTCCATTCTTTTTTTCAGTTTTTGTGCAGGCGGATATAGAGGTCGATGCTGCAGAACGTGGAAAATAGGATGTGTTTCTCAAGGTAACTACATTTAGTAATACGTCATTTTTCAGTTTTATCAAAACACTGCAAGAGGTCATTTTCTTCCCGTTTTTGTTTTTGTTTTTGTTTTTGTTTTTGTTTGTTTGGTGTTTTTTTTAAGGGTCGTGATAGCAAGAATAAATAGCATGAATTTCCAGCGCAATTTTGCATGATTAAGTTTAACAAAATATATGTCGGCAATGAGACTGTAGTAGACGTGTTCATGTTTTCTTCAAAGAATGCTTCTTTGAGTCTCCTCGAAACAGGTATGATGACTTCTTAAACCTCCTACTTGAAGAATTTGAACGTATTGAAAAATATAAATTGTAACATATTAATAACTCTTCCTCCATGTGGTAAAATACTTGACTGTGGAAAAGAATGGAAAGTTTACCGAAGCCGAGGCATCTAAATAGGCCGGTGCCGGTAACAAATGGAATTTAACCCTTTTCGCACGGCTAGGGTCGTTTTCATCCCCATATGGAACGATGTATATATTCCTCTCTGGACCCTTTTAGCTTTCAGTTTTAGTAAATAAATTGGTAAGCAAAAACGTCACCAAAGATAGATCTTTCCAGCGATCCCTAGTTTTGGATATTCTGACCAATCCTGACAGAGTTACGCTCACAAAAAAGGTAACATTTTGGAGGAAAAATCCACTGTCAATTTCGCTGTTTAAATATCTACATACTACTCTTTGAAAATTAAATTTGTCCCTTTCCTAAAACGTTAGCCAGCCACAATTCCATGCAAACGAAAGACGATAAAGTGGGCAACCAAACTGCAAATAAAGAAAAAAAAGGCAAAGGAAAAAAAGAGAGCGAGAGAGAAAGATCGAAATAGATTCGTAAAACAAAACAAAAATAACCTTCAAATCTTGGCCTTTGCGCGTGCGTGAATAACAAAAACACTGTTAAATTAAGTCAGATTAGTCGGAAAGTATGCCTTTTTTCTTGCAAAACTCATTTTTAGCCATTCTTATGCTAACTAGCCGAAAACCAGTCAAAAGAAGACGAACTGATGAAAAAATGCGGGGTTTTTTTTGCTACTCGCCGGCAGTCATAAAAGGGTTAAAGAAAGTTACCAATTTGTTTCAAATTGGCCTTTATCCACGTAAAACAGTCAAATTTGCCAAATTCAGCAAGAAACAGGTTTGCAATGTGAAAAAGAAGCAATTGCAATGTTTATTGTTATTAAGGCCTTAAATTCGTGAAGAACAAGGCAAGTGACCGCATCAAAGTGTTAATTGCTTATATCCTGCACTTCGTAAGGGGAATTAAACATTTTTATAAATATTTTGTATAATACTAAGAATGTCCTTTTATTTCACTCGCGTTATATCTTTTAAAACAGCTGCAAAAGCATTGAAGACACGGCACTGATACTTCGGTCCCGTTAGATAAAGAAAGTGGCTCTGTCCTCATATCAATTAGCGCAGCAACTTTGCTCGCACAGCTAGCCGTCCCCTGCGGGGAACTGGACACTCGTCTGGTGGTAAATTACTGTGGCCCACAATACACTGTTTTCAGTATAGTGTAATGTGTAACTCCCTCAAAGCGGACTGAGGAGTATCACTGTTGAACAGTTTTATAAGTGTTCGCTGATTTTATGGGTCTGGAAAATCTGCGTACCAGCGAGCCACGCGACAGCGAGCCATGCGTCCGCGAGCCATGGGAAGAATGAAGTCTTCATAAATGAAAAATGTTTCCTGCTTAGTTTCCTATGGGTACTGATGTAAGTTGGTTGCTGCAGCTAAAATATTTGTAGAATTAAGCAGTCTTTGTCAAATTTCAGTTAATAGGGTTAATACCACTTTAAAGGTTAAGCGCTGGCTAGGGTTAAACACTTATTCGTAACGGTTAGCATTCAGTTATTGTTTTCTGTATCGCTGTGGCTACAGTAAAAACCCACGAGTAAGAAGCTGAAAATTAAGAACCTGTTAGCCTAAAATTTGCCATTTATACCCCCTATAAACAAGAACCTGTTTAGCCTAGAAAATGAAAAACAGGATCTTATTTTTTAAAATCATATTAGCGAAGTGCAACTGCAAAGCTGTGTAAGAATCCTGTTTGTAGAAGTAGGAGCTTGGCATTGCTGTGCAAATAAAAGTGCAAGAGGTTAATATCGTTGTATTGCATTTTGAAATTGAAAAATAGGCTGATTACCATCTTGTTTTGGAGCTTGTTTTTTTTTTTTTTTTTTAAAGAAAAAAGAACCTATTTAAGAACCTAAATAGCTTAAAATTGTGTTAACTACCATTTAAATAAGAACCTGTTTAGGCTAACTCCAGGAAATGTAGGTTCTTACTCGCGGGTTTTTACTGTTGAAAACACTAAACAAACGACTAAATGACTGGCAGTCTTATATTCTCGGTAAATTTCACAAAATCGAAAAATTCCAGCTAACCTAAACTATTATATGTCGATTAAGGAAAGTCAACCGATCCTGAAATGCTTCATAGATCTCAAGAATAGCGTTTGGTTTTACGATGGGCTCAGAAGACGAAAGAGAGAATATAGGGACTGCCGGTCATTTAATGTTTTCAACACCTTGACCGCGGGCAGTCAAGCTAAAAAAAGTTTTATAAGTGTCACAAAACATGGTTTCGCTTTCTGAGCCCAGCGAAAACCAAACGCTATTTTTGCTCAGAGATCTATAAAGCATTTCAGGATCGCTTGACTTTTAATCGACATATGATAGTTTGGTTTAGCTGGATTTTTTCGGTTTGTGAAATTTTTTACTGAGAATATAGGACTGCCGGTCATTTAGTGTTTTGAAAACCTTGACCGGTTACTGGCCACATAGCCACAGCGTTTCTGTATTACTGTATTTTGATTTTTTTCGTAATTTTTTCCCATTCCTGACATGGCTCGCACTGTGTCCTAAAAAAGTTTGGACCATCTTTATACCATTAGAGCCTGGATTCGTTCTTGTAAACACCTATACGTAGTACTGTATTCAATGAATTGAAAAAAGCTAAACGGATACAACGACGAGAAGGCCTCTACTGCAAAAAAAAAAAGTAAATCTGAACCTACCTTCTTTCGTTTTCAGATTTCTTTTGGGTATTATTCTGATTATTGCCACTTTTGAATTGCGCCAAGCAGCGTCCTCTGCTATGTCCGCTAAACAAACGTTGGACGCATTTAAGCTAACAGATGGCTGTGACGCCCTCAAGGACCGGCTGCGATGTTTCCAGCATAAATATCGCACAATTGATGGAACATGCAACAATCTGTGTCGCATTAAGCAAGGAGCCGCTTCCACTCCGCTGCGGCGTTTTCTTCCAAGTGAGTACGCACCTGGAGAGCAACCTCGCAACGAATCAGTAACAGGCCATCCCCTTCCAAATACAAGGCGAGTAAGTGTGGAGATATTTCAAGCCTTAAATGGTGATGAATTTGGCATCCGACCAATTTTTACTCACGTGACAATGACTTGGGGTCAATTCTTAGATCATGACGTCACTCTGACAGAGCTGACACCAAATGTGGAGTGCGGAAATAACACAAAACCGTGTGTTGACAAGAAAGGATGCATTGTAATCTCACTGGATAATCTGAAGAGAAAAGAGAGATTAAGGTTCAACCGCAGCGCAAATTGTATTCCTCTCAGAAGGTCCTTCAGAAGAAAAGGTGAACAGGTAGGCTATAAGGGAGCTGTCAGTGAAAACAATATACGTGGCTAGTAGCTGATGATGACTTAATGTAAGTATTGGTGTTGGTTTTGAATCATAAAATCGTAAAAGAGAGTGCATGAACAGAGATCTGCGTCGCTCAGGACACACTGCCTCAAATACAATCATTATTCTGTTTATCAGATTGGAGTAAACAGCACAAAAGCAAAGTACTAGATAAAGATTTAGCTATGTGTTACTGCCACTGTTACTGTACAAACGATTTCGTCAGTCCCCATGATTAAAATGTGATCTTTGAAACACGATTTTACTTGAAACAAGAATCGCCGAAAGGCGATTTTTAACTGGGCTGCAAAGGGGCTATTTTTTCTGAAGGGAGGGGGCGGCTATACACACTCAGGCTGCGACAGAACCTCATGTGAGACTGAAACATAAACTCATTCAGAACATAGTACCCTTTTGAAAGACTCTCCTAACCAAAAAAAAATAACCATTTTTAAGTGGGGGCTGTATAATAACTTTTAAATTCCACCATTATGAATAAAAATAAACAAGTTAGCCATTAATTCTAAGCAGGGAACAATTTGCATTATTTCCACGTACCCCTCCCCCAATCCCTCTGTGCCCTAAAATATAGCGTGACAGCATAACGTGACTAATTTGACGCAACTGGAAATTCCAAAAAATGTTGCCGTTCTACGAGCATAAAATGCGACAGACTGAGCTGATTTACACTAGACAGAAATATTGTATTGTATGAAAACCAGAAGTATACTAAAACAGTTAACTGCCCATTGATCCCGCCTGATCCAGGGGCCTCACTGACTGCACGGAGACTTTACTGCGCTTTTCACAAACATGCGAACTCTAAAGTTCAAAAGCCACCTTCACAATTGTGTTTATCGCTGCCGTCAATCATAATTACGATCACAAGCAACGAACCTTGAAACAGAGAAACACACAAAACGGATCGAAATCCACAAATCACAAACCATGAGCTTTTGAACCCGTGAAGTAAAGTTTTTTTTCCTAAGAGGTCCGTTAAGATGATTGACAGCAGCGAAAAATGCAATCGTCGGTTGGCTTCTGAACTTCAGAATTCGCATGTTTGTGAAAAGTGCGATCCTAATTTGCGGTCCACAGTCTACAAGAAAACGCACTATTTTTTCCACAAGATGAAAAATATTCAGTTTTAAGATTTTCCTCATGGTATTTTTCTCTAACTTAAAGGAATAAAATCCTTTGCATTTTGAGACCCAAAAAAGTTTAAAGATTTCTCGCTCGCATGTTGCGTTCACCAGCACGCACTTCAAACAATGTAAATAGATGAAACGATCGATAACATATTTTTTACCTGATACCGATGCGAGTTAAAAATTCGCTCCAGTTCTGTTTGTCTCACCCAAGACGAACTTTTCTTCATGGAAGATAACTATGCCGCTTTATAACTCGTCCGAAGTTTTTGTGCCAGCTAAACAATATACAACAACAACAACAACACCAAAAGCTTTATTTGCATGACCATAAAGGAATTACAGTATTGCAAAAGCTATTAATCTAAATTACGTACTAATTCAACTAATTAGTACGTGCAAAACATTACAAAACGTGACAGTTCTCATTCATTCATTCATTGAGATTAATTTGGTCCTTAATTCAAAGCATTGCGAGATAAATGAAACTAATTGACAGTTAATTAAATAATCAGAAGAATTCATAAGAAGAGATATTAAAGTATCGTGTGAAAGTGATTTGAAGTCAGGTATTTTAGTTTCTAGTTTCGAGAAAAATATGTCTCTGATCTGAGAATAAGCCTTACAATCTAGTAAGAAATGATTTTCATCTTCGATTTTCTTACTTGTACAAAAGTGACATATCCTTTCATTGCGAGGAATGTTTTCGTATCTACCTGTTTCAATTCTAAGTTGATGACTACTTATTCTAAATCTAACTAATGTTTTTCTCGAAGGGTTTTTTCTTGTTAAAACTAGGTACGGCGAGGGGCTATAGTCGTCTTTGATTGTACAATAAAAACTGAGTTTTTGTGATTGTTGAAGTGTCTGATTCCAGTAAGAGACGTATTTATTTTTCATTATGCCGATATACCTATTAACTATTGAGTCACTCAATGAATTACAGGAAAAGTCATAGTTTAGATCATAGTAGTCAACCATTTTCATGAGATTAGAGTAAAAGCTAGTTTTTCCGTTATGATGAAGGTCAATTGAAATTTGTAAGGCCTGTTTAACTATAGAATCTTCATCCTTACCTCTCAGATAGTCTAAGTAATTTAGAATCTTTTTATTTATATCAATGATCATGGGAAATTTACCGAGTTCAGCTCTACAAGCAATGTTGGATGCCTTGTTATGTACTTGTAAATAACGTTTACAGAATTGCAAATGGGTTTTTTCAATTGCAGAGCTGTCCCAGGACTTAAAATCTGATTTAACAAAAGCACCCCAAACTTCGCTGTTGTAGGTTAGAATTGGTGAAATCATAGAGTCAAAAATTTTACACGCAAGTGAGGGCTTAAGATTATTCAAATCCGTGTGTCGCCTGAGGCTGAAGAGCGCGTGAAGAGCTTTTTGTCGGAGATGTTCAAGCGAAAGTGTAAAATTTCCAGAAGATGTAATTCGAGTTCCTAAGTAAGTATAGTTTTGGACAACGTCGATTACTTCATTGCCTATGCGAAAGTTATGTTCACATTTTCGTGTGCATCGTTGAAAAATCATTATTTTGGTTTTCTTAGGATTTATTCTAAGCATCCATGAGTTGCAATATGAAGATAGTACGTTAAGGCAGTTTTGTAGACCAAGTTTGGATCGCGATAATATTATCAAGTCATCTGCGTAAAGGAGAGAGTTGAGTCTGGTGCCATTTGGTAACACGAAGGGGTCTGATAAAACATTGTCAAATGAGAACGCTAGATCGTTAAGGTATAAGTTAAAGAGCAGAGGGCTTAAAATGCAGCCTTGCCGCACTCCTCTTGCGTATTGAAAAGATCGCGTTTTGTTATTTCCAATCCTGACAGAGCAGGTAGACTTCGAGTATAGACTCTTAATTAGACTATAAAACTTTCCTTGGACATTGATCTTAGATAACTTATAGAGAAGCCCATCATGCCAAACCGAATCAAAGGCTTTCCTAAAGTCAACAAAACACGCATATATTTTCTCCTTGTGACAATGGACATATTTGTCTATTAATGTTCGAAGTGTGAAGAGATGATCTGCTGTTCTATTATTTGCTAGAAAACCAATTTGAGACTTGTGAAGTATATTATTTAAGTCAACATGCTTTAGAAGTCTCTGACTGAGAATTGAACAAAATAGTTTTCCAATACAACTGGAAATACAAATTCCACGGTAGTTTGATGGATCGCTTTTAGTACCACATTTAAAAATTGGTGTAATGAGGCCATCACACCACATTTGGGGCATAGTTCCTAAGTCGAGGACCGTGTTAAATAGTTTTAGATAAACAGGCATTAATTCGTTTAGGCTAGATTTGATCATTTCGTTTTTGATTTTGTCTGAAAAAGAAGATTTGTTGTTTTTGAGTTTTCCAACTGCAGTGCGAATTTCACTTTCAGTGATGAGGTAATCCAAGGAGCGAGATCGTGCCGTAATATTCTTTGAATTCTGCAACTCATCTATAATTGCCTCCTGCTGTTCATTAAGGGGTCCATTCGAGTGCAAAGATTGAAAGTGAGACATCCATTTTTCTTCAGAAATTGGAGGGGTGTAGGAAACACTATTCACAGTGACTCCTTGGATATTAAAAAGACTGAACGTGACGCACTATTATGCCTTTGTTTACTTCTGATCACATCTTCAAGCGAAGAGCGATTCGTCTCAATGCACAATAATGGACCATTATATTAGTTAAAACCCTATGGTTCATTTATATTAATGCTGTTTTGCCCCTCACATTGACTGTGTTCGTTCGTATTCAAAACACCTTTACGAAAATAAAGGTCGTATAAGTCATGTGTTATGTTTCGAGATAAATGGATTATACGCTTTTTTAAGTTTCCATTTTGCGGTGACTTCAGTTTACATCTCCACAAAATGGTAAAAGAAATATTAAGAAACATCACGAGAGCTGAAAACTTTCAAAGGCATGTTTCTGAAACTCGCTAATGCTGACATCAATATAGCGTGCTTGCTGAATGGGCGAAAACACAGAATTGTGATCACAAGATCATGTACAAATTTAATGATAAAAGCTTAGCAAGATACAAATACAAACAAAAGCAAACCCCCTGAAACCTCGACGTGGGCTACACTTGTATGCTCTACTCAGTCACCAAACCTTGTCAGTAATAACTCCTATTTTCCTCAAGTCGCTCTCTGTGAAGCTCCCGGATGGGATGTCCCGGTGAAGCTTTAAACTTGTGTGCGAAATTCTCAGAGTCCCTATTTTTGTCCGTGTCTTCTTTATCCTCAGTATCCGAAATTTAGACCTCCAAAGTGGCGTGTGTTGCATTAAATAGAAGGAAATATTTAAAGGAAAAGCCAGTCTTCTAACATGGCAAAGTTGTCACGTCCCTCGCTCATGGACGTGCGTAGAGCCATCCATCGGCAACTGAGTTGTTCGCTTCACTGACTACGGAGGCTTACAATCAAGTCTTCAGCCATAGTGTCGTCAACTGGTGAAATACCTTGCTCATAAATTGTGCTTCTTAATTGCTCATGTACTACATCGATCGATAATTCTCTCTTTGAGTTCACGAAGCGGCCACGGCGTTCCAAACCTGACGCTCACAGTCATCTTTTAGTGTGAACCTACCGTGAACGGCGTGTCGGTTTGTATACCAGTCATGAATTACGAATAGGTTTTCAGTGTAAGGGCTTGTGTAAGGGCCCTTACACCCTTACAGCAGTTTCAGATTATAATGCGAGATATATATTAAGACGCTTAACTCTTCTTTTATCAACGTAACAATGATCAGAGCAAAATGGCGTAGCGAGAACCCAAGCTTTTACAAGGCTCTAGGCTGTTGTCATGACAACAGCTCTTTTTTTTTTTTTTTTGGCATAATAATGCCCTTTTTTTTGAAATTTGATTCCGGCAGGCGGTTTTTTAGGCAACAAGGGTGTTTCTGTGAAATCGTAGATTGCGTTACGCTCGTTTGTATTTTTTTTTAATTTGTTAATTTTTTACCATTTTTTTTTTTTTTTTTTTTTTTGACATATATCATTATTATCACAGTTGTCTAACCTCGGAGTTTTTACCAGATCTAATCGGAGAGTACAAGGAGTTTTTGCGGAATTATTGCATTCAATTTTTTCCCTATTTTTTCGTTTCTTTCTTTAATACGCTTGGAGAAACTATGACGTAAGTTCTGCAGTACATTTTGCGCGAAGGACACATCCCCCATAGTGTAATTTATTTGCAAGAGCAAAAAACACATGTATTTCTGGCGTTAACTGTATTATTATTATTATTTTATTTTTTTTGCTTTGCTTTGCTACCAAAATGCAAATCGCTTAGGTTGCCCATGAGGCACCTATTATGTGGCCTACCCGGAAGGGGGGGGGGGGGGCCCCCCAACCCCCCCTATTTAATAGTCGCTCCCCTTTTTTGTTTTTTGTTTTTTCTAAAGCGATTTTGATAGGCTACAGTTAAAAGGATAGCTTGCAGCCCTTGCAGCCCTTGCAGCCCTTGCAGCCCTTGCAGCCCTTGCAGCCCTTACAGCCCTTACAGCCCTTACAGCCCTTACAGCCCTTACAGCCCTTACAGCCCTTACACCCTTACAACCCTTACAGCCCTTACAGCCCTTACACCCTTACAACCCTTACAGCCCTTACAGCCCTTACACCCTTACAACCCTTACAGCCCTTACAGCCCTTACAACCCTTACAGCCCTTACAGCCCTTACACCCTTACAACCCTTACAGCCCTTACAGCCCTTACACCCTTACAACCCTTACAGCCCTTACACCCTTACAACCCTTACAGCCCTTACAGCCCTTACACCCTTACAACCCTTACACCCTTACAGCCCTTACAGCCCTTACACCCCTTACAGCCCTTACACCCTTACAACCCTTACAGCCCTTACAGCCCTTACACCCTTACAACCCTTACAGCCCTTACAGCCCTTACACCCTTACAACCCTTACACCCTTACAGCCCTTACAGCCCTTACAGCCCTTACAGCTCTTACAGCCCGTACACCCTTACAGCCCTTACAGCCCGTACAGCCTTACAGCCCTTACATCCTTACACGTTCAACTCCAGTTATGGGACTTGAATTAATTTATAATTGCATCCCCTGGATCCATGTTTCTTCTAGCCTGCATAGTATAAAGCAATCTGGGGACGTACGAGGTGCGAAAAAGAAAGAGGTGCGTTCAGGAGCCCTATAGTCATGGGTTGCTAGCGTGTTGGACGAGCAAACTTTTTAAAACTTTCATGCTATGCTTGCAAAACTCGAAGAAAGTTATTTTTATCGTTCCCTGGTCAAATTTCTTTCATATCCCTCTTTTTAACTCGACAAGGACAATTTTTGTTTGGGGCACTAAGGCACTAAGTATAATGGACTTTACCGTAGACCTAAAACAGCATTATTCTGTTAACATAGCCCCTTCAAAAAACACTAGTAGGTTCCAAAAGAGACAGCTGTGGTAACAAAAACTTAAAGAAATGACAAACACAACAAGAAACAGAAAGTAATATCAATACTAGCACCTTTAATAACTTTTCAGTTCAATTTTTTCCATTACCAACACTAGCGTCACAGCCGTAATCTGTATATTACATTCAACAGGAACTCAAGTCCCAAGGTTTAGTACGTTGGGAATCAATAGATAATTAAAGTTAATCGCGTTCCTTAGAACGCACCCTCATCTGGTGTTCCTGCGGTATAAGGCAGAAATTTTCGAGCTATCACCGGCGACTGTCGATTAGCCGGCCCTATTAATTTTAATTTTTCCTGCGCCCGAGATACCCCTGATAACATTAATAGGGCCGGCTAATCTATGGTCGCCGGCAGGATAGTTCGAAAATTTCTGCCTTTGTACCACAGGAAGACCAGACTAGGATGCGTTCTTTACCAACAATTTCAAAGCGAGAACAACAAATGGTGAAAAATCAACAGCATTGTAAATTATACCTTTTAGTAAACTTGTCAGGCCCAGCAAGGGGAAAGGGGGAGCTGAAATAGTGATATACCCCAATTATTTCCTCATAAGATACCACTATACCTCAAGATTTTAAAACAAATCTTTCATACGGACTACCTAAAGGAGCCTGAAATTGCCTTGAAACCAAACTATACCTACAATGATTTGTAAGGTTACTAAGGGATAACACACCCTGATATAGTGATTTTTTTTGCCTGGTGCACTATATTCGGTCACGCGCGACCTTCTCTCATTCTCTCCTTTGCTGGCTGCACCCCTGGTGATCCTCAGTTGTGTATATATAAAACAATCGCTGTGTCAATGTACATTTATTTATATACGAGAAAAAAAAGTCGGAAAACTTGGGTCTTTATACCAAATAACAAAAAATCAGGAATCCGGAACAAACCGTAATGTTACATCAACAAACAGTATACCTGAATAAAATAGGTCTCAAACACCCAAATACCCTATAACCCTAGTCATTTTTAAGTAGACCCTAAAGAAGAAAGGCCGTGCTTTTTCAAAATATTGGCACCATATATAGATAGATATTATATTCTAGTAAACAGACTTTCTTCTTTCCGTTGTTCAACTAATTTATAGCTGATTATATTAGGATGGAGGCTTTCTATTTGCCGAAGTTGATCCTTGCTCCTGGCTGGGCCTGACTCGTGCTGTGTTAATACAGGGCTCCTGTATACACATGTGTATCCGGTTAACAATTTCTGCATCCTGGACACTTATATGTTTTATTTTGTTCTGCCTCGCATCTACAGTGTACCCACTGGCCACAGTCTACCTGGGTACACTGTTGCCAATCTACTCCCCCCTGCCCTTTTCTTGCAGATTGGACACGTCTCCAGGTCTTTTTTTTGGCTAGTTCTGCTGCGGTTATTTTTTCTTGAACAGACTTCTTGAGGTTCAACAGTTACTTGCAGCATTTCACATCCCGCTAAAAATTGAACAACAAAAGCATTAGTAAACATTATTCGACGGTATTCAATTACTAGTGGGTATAGCTAGAAGGTGTTTTCAGGCAGAAATGGAGAGTGCAATATGCCGCGACAATCTTGTGGGCTTATACTGTGACCTAGAGTAATTGGGGCTGGAATCTACGCGGACAGTAGTATTTTCCGGCAATAGCAGTACGAAATAGTTTTTGTCATGCAACCTCACACCGGCGTCTGATAATAAGACGATTGTGTTTCAATGCCATGAAAAAATCATGTAAACCTTAGAGTATTAATCAGTCTTAAACGGAGAGAAAGAACCTATGCGTCAGAACAGTAATTGCATGTGGGAAGCTAATAACTTCTCTTATTATGTACTATGGCCGCGGGATAATTTGTGTTTTACGTATCTTTCCCTAAACCTAACATCCGAAATAACAGTCATCAGCTGTCCTAACCTTGTACAATATCCAAACTTCTTTTACTGGAGCCTTGTTCTGTCAGGAGGTAAAAGACAATAGATACCTGTATTAAAATCTCATCAAAGGAAGACAATTTTCACTCACAATGGTGCTGTTAAATAATAATAATATAATAACAATAATAATAATAATAAGAAGAAGAAGAAGAAGAAGAAGAATATGATGATGATGATGAGGAGGAACAAGAAGAAGATTTGAAAATTTTTAACGCTGCTTTTCCATGTGAACATTATCAAAAGTGTAAAAAACGCATATCTACACAATTGGACTAAATTAGCTCCTTTAAACGTGATTCTAAAATGCCTCATGAGAAAAAGTAATCTCGAACCCGTCGTTCGCCAGCAAGTTGCCATCCCAATCAGTAGCTAAGTTAAAGAAATCTGCTTGTCGCTCGGCACTTTGTATAAAATATAGATATATTTTTTTCACTTTCAACTTTCTCAACATTACTTCAGTCTCATTGCAGCTTAAGGCATTTCCTTTTTCTTTTTTCGATCCAATGTAGTTGTCTTTTGAGGTCCTCGTATCTTAAATTCAATACTCCCCTAGGCACTTAAACATCTCACCTTTCAATTTCGTCAGTTCATTTCTCACTCCAATGACCTCATTTTCTCTTTCTCTGATTTCCTTCTCGAGTATTCCTTTCTGGCTCTCTTCTCCTTTTAATCTCTCTTTAAGTAGAGAGTTTTCTTGCTCCAGCCTTTCCATTTCGTTGTTGAATTCTGTCCTCATTGCCTCCATTTCTTCCTTCAGTTTTTTGTTTTCTCTCAGAAGATCATCATCCCTCTCTGTATATAGTACCAGGGTTGAATCAAACTGTTAATGCATTGCACAAATACTTCGAAATTACAAGAAAGAAACTGGACTCACCAGAGTTTTCCGCCATTGTTTCTTTGGTGGTTGGTTTTACGTGTGCATCTGCTGCTGAGTTTACTGTTGCCCCCGTTGCTGAAATTTTACAAATAATTCAGTTTCTATTAGCCGGTAAATAAATTACAATACCCTGCAAGAGACTTCTCCTGAGACTTTCTGTGCAATAGCAACCTCCTTGCTATGTTATTCATACACTATTCTCTCGCTCTCTTTTTATTGAGAATATCCACGCGCTTACTTTAAAACATACATGTTGCGAGGCTTGCCTCACGATTCCTCAAAGGTTCGTTATGTGTACGTTACAGTTAAAAGAGTGAGATGTATCTCGTAACTGTTACTAGAGTTGTTCATTTCTTTTCTTTGTTCAGTTACCTTCATCTAGTACATCAAGAGTTGACTGCTTAAAGAGCGATCTTTTTACCATGACGCAGCTCTTTAATTTACGTTTAGAGGGAACCTTGGATGATGGTGACACAAATCTTTGTTCTGCACGTTTTATTCCTAAAACAGATGAAAGAAGAAAGTATCTGTCAATTGTATGTTTTTTCGGGCCTTATCGTCACGATACTGGTAAGGAAGAGGGTAGGTCCTTGATAAAAATACCCCTCCAGTTCGTTTGAAAGTTATGCACCGGCGTTGCTAAAACGAGGGTAAAGGTAACACCAAGGGTGGGGGTGAGGGTAAGGGTGTGTTTAAGGGTAAGGGTGAGGGTGAGTTTAAGGAGACGGTGACTGTAGCGATGATCATGCAGCTACCATTCATTCGTTACCCTTACTGGTTTTGTTAAGCACAAAAAAGAAATTTTCTCAGAGAAATTGCGTTCTTTTGCAGACAAAGGCTGTAGAAAAAAAATCTGTCCAAGAGTCGAGGAAGACCGGAAATCAATGACTGCAAATTTGTCTACTAATCTCCCTCAGGCCCCTGGTCTGACCTCAGAGTTCTCATATTATTCTACTCATGGAAACTAATTAGAGAGTAAACCTATCGTATGGTAAATTTCGCGTGGACGTGAATTTACTTCCAGCATTTGCCCTCTTTGGCTGGTCTAATTTCAAGGTTTGGCTAGCTTTCTTTTTCCAAACCTACATTAGTTTAAGATACATCCCTAACAATAGCCTCTTACACATAATTGGCAACTATTAATTTTGGATGGGAATGTGTAAAGTTGTCTTTGCTGCTATTGATGTACTGAAGAGGCAGTGGTAAGTTCTCCGTATAACCCCACATATTTATTATGCATACATGTTTCAACTCTGTGCATATTAAACTAGTTGCAAGAAAAAGCATGAAATTGTTGAAAGTATAATAAATGTATGGGGTAATACAGAAATCTGACTGAGGCAGTTCACAGAAGAGTGAAAAAAATTTACTTACTTGCTTACATACTGTTTTGAGGTTTGAGAATATCATCTAGCCTCTACAGTTTACCATAAGCTGCTGCTTATAAGTCCTGGGCATATGCATCTTCGCAAAGGGTTTTAGAGGGGGTTATAAACGAAGGGGCTTATAACCGGAATAGAAAAAGCACTTTGAAATAAGCTATACCTGAGGCTGATAAAAACACATTTTGTACTCAGTGGTGTTTTAATAAGCTTCAAAATGTCACAATAAATCAAATTCAATTCATTACATTATTTTGGAACAGACACTAGAGGGGGACTTATATCTGGGGAGCTTATAATGAGATGTGTATTTTGTTTACAGTCTTATAAGCGTGATTTGTGGCATGTTATTGAACATCTCACTGCCACTCCTACACTAGCCTCTAATCTTATTAAATGGCAAACTCAATGATAACCTCAATTCCTCTTGTACCGTACACAAGATCAAAATTTCATACAAACGTAAGAGAAAATAACCGCCGAGAGCATCCCGTTTTTTTGGCTCTAGTTTCACCCACCAAGAAAAACTGGATGAAACTAGAGCCAAAAAAACCGGGTGCTCTCCCGGGCTATTTTCTATAGGCTATAGAGAAAACAGTGTAGTCTGAGACATAATATGGTTTCTGTAAATTTATTATTCATATTTATTTTTTAGTACAAAACATGTGAATATCAAGAGAAACTTTATGGCAACTCTATAATAAAGACTCAGAAATAAAAATAATTTTTTTAACAGTCATTTTGCTCAAGATTAAATTAAAGGCTTTGAACCAATGAAAAAACGATTGTTAGCTTAATAAATTATTCATTTGTTTGAATGGAAATGAGCCAACTAACCTCAGAATATCTTTCCTCTAAAAAGCCTGGTTGGTCAGTCATGTTTCAAAATGTTGTAGTGTTCTCAACCCGGGACAGAAACATGAAAAAGTTGGAGCTATTTACCAAGGTGTGTTCTGCCTTGGAGAACTCATTTGTCTATGTGTCTTTTGTTCAAGGCCATTTTGCGCATCGGCAAGTGCACCGCTAAAGCTCTTGTATAGTTGTAAAAATGCAAGTGATCCTGTCATCACAATTATTGTGCTATATTTGCATTGGCCTGCCATGGGACTATTGAAAAGGAAAACTATCACTGGCAGGACATAACACTCTTAGTGGAGAGCAACTGTATGGATATTGATATAAAAATGCCACTAAGATGGTACTTTCTGTACCATGTAAAATGAGGTAACAAGAAGATCCATCCATACATTCTAAAATCTATAGTCCAACTGAGTCTGGTGTGCATCATCACTTTGATATCTAGCATCCACTAATGAAGGGTATCACTGATTTTATACACTTGCAGGTTTCTCTAAAAATATAAATGAGATAAACACCTCAATCACAAAATATATAAAAATTATTTGGCAATAAAACAGTTTAAAAGAATGCTAGAAAAGCCATGAAAGCCATTCTTTTTTCACCTTTATGAATCCAAAGAACTGACATCTTGTCAAAGAGACCCATGGCAAGATTTCAAGATTTGAAGACCTTCTATTAATCTTTGTTAATAAGGATAGATTTTAATTTTAATCACTTTCTTATTTCTTTGGTATTGGCTACCCTGCCTTATGATAAAGCAAATGAAATTGATTTGATTGAAGATTTGGCGCGGGTAACGAATGGGAATGTGAGATGTTTTCATAATTTATAAGGTTTATTAAGTCTATGTTCTCATCACTCCATACTAGTTTAAGTGGAATCAAAACTGTATAATAATATATTGGGAATGTTTGAAGTATCTAACAGTGTTCAGATTAAGCCATTTTCCTTAAAAATCGGAATCATTAACCAAAAAATCCCTCTTTCAGAGTCTCCGCATTTCCTGAGTGATGCCACGTTTCGCAACATTCTGTAAGACTTATCACAAAACCGCCAAAGTTGATCGATTTCCACGCCTTCAAAATGTTCAAATTCCTGGGTCACTGTGGGTCACTTTAGTAAAAAATAAGAAGATAAACCTCTGAATTACTTAAATGGCGGACTTAATTAAACAATACCCCACTTTGACTAGAAAAGAAACTACAAACATGTTTTCGGAACCATTCCTTGGCAGTGAACGATGACAGATCAGGATATCACAATTCAAATACGAAAAAATATACGTTTCAGAAAAAATGCTCTTGTAAAGCTGGCTTTTATGAAAAGATAAAGAAACAAAGAATGTATGAATGGTCTTACTTACCTCTAGTTAGGATTCTAACCCGGTAAAAATGTCACACAAAAACACCGTAAAAACACGACGTGCCAAGGAAAACTCCGCCATCTTGTAAGAAACACAACCGCAATGCACTGTGGGAAGACGTTCACTCCTCCTCTGGAAATTTCGAACCAAAATTTTCGTGCTAATTATATGAACATTTCTTTTTTATGGGCTAAGCCGCTGTCAGATACGGCCGAGTGCGGACTCAATGTCACGATACACAAACATCACGGTATTTACAGCCAAAAAGGAACCGCTGAACGAAAATACCGTTCTGAAATGTCTTAACGTGCAAGAAATTATCTCTCGAGTGAGGGGTTTTGCATGAAATTTGGACGATTTTTCGCGGAGATATTGAAAAGCGAATATCAGGAAATTTCGCCGTGGAGTCCATACTGAAATTTACGGTGTTTTCAAAGTTAAAAACCGAAAGAAATTTCAATCGGGAAGTGCAAAGTGTAACTGGACCTGAAAGTCATTAACTCGCAGAACCGATGCAAAGTGGTTGTACCCGACGAACTTGGACGCGAACAAGAACACTTTAACTGGGCTTTCTCTTGCGCTATTTTGGCTTGGCGAGTCATTACAGATGCAGAGAACGTTTAACATATTCATATACCCACCAATCCCATAGGCTTGTACTCCGGATCGAAGTTCTTCTGGCTTTATAGGAGAAGTATCGCTTTCCATACAGCGATCTTGGAATTGTTCGGCCCTTATGGCCAGCGCGCGTTGTACACTACCATCGGCTGACAGCTTCGAAGTTGAACAATTTGTCGTCAGGAACTGACCGACCTGCAAAATGGTAATAATTTCTATTCACTTGAAGTAATCAACATCCACTGTGCCACTTTTAAGGCTGCACGAAGATTTAAGAAGTTTGAGGTGTTGGGTGGTAAAAAAATTTTAAGTCTGACATATTTTTTTTGTTGAAATTCCTCAATATTTCTCGCAGTTAGTTGCCTGAAGGTAAGTTCAGTTCCAGAGGGTGACGAATTTTCCGTCTGGTTAGAAAAGATGACCTACTGTTGATATTAATTACTTTGTATCTTTAATAAATGCTTCAAATTACTTCACCTTAACTTCTCCCCAGTCAAAGTCCTGTGATTAGAACCTCTTGTAAAGAGACACCTAGCTACTGCAACCGCTTCTTTTTTTTTTTTTTTTAATTTTACGACTGTTTTGGTTTTTACCGTGTTAGTGTCCATCCCTTGTACTACTATCTCCATCTTGTCTCCAAGTCTGTTCACGAAGGCTTCTCTTCCTTCGACAACATCGTGGGATGTCATGAAGTCGGATGCAGAGGATTGTACGAAGACTGCAGATTTCTGATAATGCAGGACGTGAGGAGAGACTTTATTCATAAAAAAACCAATAACCTGGTCATCTGTTATTGAGGAGGTAAGTTCCTGCATCTGTCAAATAAGAAAACGTATTTTAAAAAAAGCCTACTAACGCAATTTCTAAGATTTCCACCACACTGTCCATGTCTGGAGTAGGTGTTCAGTGCAAAAATTATACAGCCGCTGAAACGGCCCTTCAATTAGATAATGTGCATCAAGGACATTCATTTTAGAAAGTTAAGGCGTCTTGCGCTTTATATTTTGTATTGAATGTTGGCTTCTGTATAAAATCATGTCAATTTTCAAGGTTCGTTTCTTGATAATTTTCTTTTTAACTAGATCATCTGCCTAGCAGCAATCAGCGCATTATTTTATAATAATTCCTTATAAACAAAAATTAATTCTACCAGTTAATGCCGGATAATCGAAACAAAAATGACCTGTCCAGCACTATACCTTCCTGGCAGCCAGAAGTCCACAAGCCCACATTTTGGAGAATCGCGTTCCTCTCCCTTCTTCTCCAAATCCTTTGAGAACGATTCCCACACACTCATTATAGAAGTCTCTTCCCTCTTGTGTCAACACCCATTCCCCCAGAGCAATGACCTTTCCAACAACAGAGGAGACTTTATTTATCAAACAATCGAACATCTGCTGCCAAATAGAAGCTTCCTCATCTGAAATAGACCTCTTGACGCTTTCAAATGGAATGAAAATAATGCGTGACATCAACCTGAAAAATTCAAGCGAACGGTAACTTTGTAGAGGCATTGCTAGCCCCCCGAACATTACAACAGATTTGCCCGTAAATGTTACTGAGTTGATCACTTTTTGGTATACAAACCAAACACTGAAGACTTATATCACTCATTACCAAGCAAAAGCCTTTGGCTCTTGGCTTTGGCACTCTATATTTCTAATGAAAGCAGCTTTAGAGTAATCAACCCATTTGTCATTTTTTTGGCCCCCATTGCCAGAAATCATGGACATTTTAACCCCGCACATAATCGTACGGCGGTGTGTTACATTACCCTGCAATGTCCTGTGCAATGATTTGAATTTGCCAGCTTCAGAAGGACACTTTCAAGAGGGTAACAAAGAGTTTATGCGTGACGTGGGCAAATTTACATAATACGAAGCAACGTGGTCCGTGACATCATTTATGGATAGCAGGCGCACAATGATTTATCTCTGGGACCTAGAATTTTCCCCATCAAACACTGCCATTAACAAACAAAATGGCTTCTCGCCGTACCTCGAGTTAGTCTCCTCATTAGCAAGAGTCCGTAATAGCAGAAGTTCATTTCAGTCAAACTTTTGCAATAAATTTTTGGCCGGTATTTAATCGCTGTCCGTATTATCAGGCTGTCCATAGCGAGGGGTCAGCAAGGCCAGAGTTGACTGTATCAGGCCGAAACCAAATGGGGTTTACAAATGAGGTTAGATACATCATAAAAATTCAATACTTTTCTATTCCAAGATTATGATTCTTAATATAACAGTAACAGTGACAGTGGTCTTGTTACCTATCACGTTCTGGTTTAGAGAGCCATTCAACAACATGATGATTGATAGCGAAAATAGGGCAACACCGTGGCGTCCATTCTTCATTGCAATTAATGTTGCTCCCTTCATTAAAAAATTTCTTGGCAGCTTCACCCACATCTTGGGGCTTTGTCGGGTCATCCACTACATAACCAAGTGTAGTAACACTTCCCACCTTTCCACTAACCTTGAAATAAAGTTAAGATTACAAAATCTGTTAATTTTTTCCCCTTTCTCAGTATGACCTACACGTATTACTCAGCGGTAGATGGTGCCAGATGCTTAGCTATAAATGAGTGACAAAAGAGTTGTTAGCTACACTTTGCTCAATGTAGCCAGGCAAATCCCTGCTTGTAGTTAAAACTTTTATGTAAAAAATAATTCTTTTTTATACCTTCTCAGATACCGAGGCAAAGAAGTTGTGTTTCCATCCACCAGTACAAGCAATGCCCACCTTGCATGCGGTTGATTTTCCGCAGTCAGGGTCTCCACTGCAGCTGGCAGGGGACAAGATCCTGCCAGCGTCTGCCACTATAAAGTGAGAAAAGGAAAAGTTGCTCTATGATTTACAGAGAAAGAATAATTAATGTAAAATATAAATTTGAGTTGTCACTTGATCACATTATAATTTTTATCATTGCTTACCCATAATAAGCTTAGCAAAGGCAATTACTTTGTTGTTGTTAAGGAAAAAAGATTAGGGGGTTCAAGGATGAAAGGTTAAATCTGTGAGCTCAATGTTAAACATTAAGCATTTTATGCAGGATAATATACATATCATATATATTTTGTAGGTATTTGAATAACAAAAGAAAGTATTGTGCTTATAACTAGTTCTTTAAAGGATTCTGACAAGTAATTGATCAGGTATTCGGAAGATGTGCATGAATTGTCTGTACTTATTAACATGTCCCCAAACTTACCACATCATAATGGGATATGATGACACTCATTGACAGCGTAAAGAAGGTAGATAAGAAATTCCCACTCTCTTGATCTTTCAACTTTGAGATGTCTAGTCCAGTGCCTCGAAATACTTCCTCGACTGTATTGAAAAGATGAGGATCATTACTTGTCGCTTGTTTTAAGGAGCCATTGAGAAAGTGGCACATAATATCGAAATAGGTTGTAGTCAAGGGTAATTGAATTGACGCTTTCCGAGACTCATGAGCTAATTCTTTTCCCCCATCTTTGACAAGGTGGCTGATCCACTTAAAGCCATAATCTTCCGGGTTCACCAGATTCCCCTTGGCATTGATGAAAACATCTTTGTTTAAGGCCCAGATAACGGTATTGCGCTGCGAGTGTCTGTTTTTCCCGACTATGTAAACTGCTTTGGGAATGTCATCGGTAATGGGTACACTGGTTTCCAATTCGGCAAGCAAGGCTTCCAGTTGAGTATTACTTAGTTGAACACTGTATGTTCTAAAAAAGTGGTCATTTTCTGTTGAGTTCAATACTCCAATGAAACGTTCCACTTTGGTTTTCGCCACTGATTTAGCATAAAAGAATTCCCTTTAGAAACAAATAATAACAAATATTATGAGTCAGTACCTTATTAGCCCGGGAATAAATTGAGAAATATTTTGAATAATTGAGTAATGTCACTTAGGCTACAATATTAGTGGAAGAAGGAGAGGGGTTATGGGAATTCAAGTTGGAGTGGCCATGGGGTAGAGTAAACGTAACCATAAAATGTGGCCATAATGGTTTTGACAGTAGTTAAAAAGATGCTCTCCCATTTCCTCTCTTGGGATGTTCCACATCCTCTCCTCACTCTGGGGTGGATCTAGGGGGAGGGTGGTGGGGGAACACCTCCTCCCCCCCTGAGCCCACCTGCAAGTAATACAACTGTTATTTTGCAAAATATGGGGTTAGGTATTCTCGGCAGTTCATATATGTTATTGCCTAATCTCATACCCAGATCTCATTCTGTTTTACACTCCCTTGGCCGTGGGAGATCTGGGTACGAGATTAGTTATTGCCTAATCAAAAGTCTTCTTCTTCATATTCCTTTTTAAGTCACCATTCCGTTACGTAATTCCTTAGTGGTGCACCCCCTCCAAAGAAAAATAAAGGATCCACCCCTGCCTCACTGCCAGAGATGACAGCTATTTGAATAACAGGGTTCGGTTTTCCCAAGAAGCCCACAAATTTCCTCCCCGACAGTTTTATTAACTGCCCCACCACACCCTGGTCTCATTGATCACGCTTTAGCAGCTTTCAAATATCTCAGATTTCTTCTAGGTTTTTCTGTCCAAAACCATTGGCTCACAAAGAAAGTATTTCTTTTTTAACTCTTCAAACAATGGATTGACGTGCGCATTGATCACCATTACAGGAAGCAAAAAATACCGTTGGGGTAGGGTGGTGATGTAGCGCAAACCGTACCTATCTTTTTAAAGCATATGTATTAAAAATATTCTTTATAGAAATATCTAACTGTTTAATTCAAAATAGGCATATTTTAGAGTGAAATATTCAACTGAAGGGAACGATGTTAATCGCTGTAGAAGAATCAACAAATGCCCCACCCCCGGGCAGAGGTTTTCTTACAAATGGACCGACAAAATGAGAAATGCACGTCAGATAGGCTACCTGCGCGCGCGAATTTTCTTCCCTCCACGCTCGCTTGCGGGGTAATTAGCCGCGTGGAAAAACAACTCAAATTCTTCTTGCTTCCAGATAAAATTCTCCTTTTGTTTACCCGACAGAATCAAATATAGTCAAATTTAACAGATCGGCAAATGGGACATTCTAACAGTTAGGGCCGGTTATTTAAATAACTTAAGGCGCTGTTTAACAAATCTTTTGACCACCAGGTCTCTTCCTTAGTGGGTTATAGAAGATAAATGCTTTTTCTGGTCCACTCTATATGCCTTCCTAAAAACTTTGTCACAATAAATAGTGTTTAAATAAAACTACTGGGCTTAGAACGCGGTTTTGTTAAACACTGGCTAAACTACGTTTAAATAACTGGCCCTTAATCTCTAAAGACGCACTTACTTTTTCATGACCGTCTTTATGTATGGCTCTCCCAAGGTATCCTGACATTGATCCCTGCCAAAACCGGCGAAACTAAGCGGAAAGTACAGTTTGATAGTGCCATGAACACTGATCCCTTCTTCACGCCATAGCATCCATTTTGGCACACAATCCCGTAAGCCGACATCTTTCCGTTAAAACAGAACTTCTGTCAAAGAAGGGTCAAAACGTGGGTGCGACATGTGCAATAAAAAGGATGACGGGACAGCACTCTCTGTTATTTTCTCACGAGAATTTTTGCCTCTCCATTGGTTTGTGCAGTGATTGATTTTTACCTATTTTTAGTATCTTCTGTTACTATGGATACTTGGCTGGGGGTGGGGATTTTAAGAGGGCAAGTTATTTTTCTTTCATCCTTGGTTTTATATTTTTTTTGGCCAGGATCCGTAGAAATTTTTATTATTAATTATTTCCTGGGCAAATTTTGTTTTTTGCTTCTGCCCCCCACCCCCTTCCGCACCCGCCAATCCATAACTTTTCTAATAGTCCATCCTTTAATAAGCCGCGTTACTGCGCTTTTCACAAACATGCGAAAGCCAACTGACGATTGCGTTTTTCGCTGCCGTCAATCATCTTAACGGACCTCTTAGGAAACAAAACTTTACTTTAACGGGTTCAAAAGGTCAAGGTTTGTGATTTGTGATTGGTGGATTTCGATCCGTTTTGTGTGTTTCTGTGTGCTTGTGATTGTAATTATGATTGACGGCAGCGAAAAACGCAATTGCGAAGGCGGCTTTTGAACTTTAGAGTTCGCATGTTTGTGAAAAGCGCAGTAACTACGGTAACCGGCACGCCGATGCTGCACGTGCTTTGGAAGGACTGAATCAACAATCTGTTGAAATTTGCCTTACAGTCTGCATCTGCCTTATTATTGTTCGTTGCGAGAAAGTCTTAAATCGCTTGTTTGGACTTAACGGCATGGATCAATCTGAGAATTTATTTCTTAATAACTTGAGAGAGCGGAAAAGAAAGAGATCTGACATATCACAGGCTTTGGAGACTGTGAAAACTACATCCCTTTCAGATTTAGAAGATATGAGGAACACTTTAGACAAAGGAGACCTACTATCGCTCTTTAAATTTAAAGTGCCAAACGCTTTAAAGCTGGCCAACATCATTCGGGAAATACCAACTGCCCT